GAATAAAAGTGGTTATTTTGCCTTGACTGTAAAAAAAAATGTATCCAACATTTTGAATCATAAATGACATGCAGTACTCTCATGCTGCTAACAGTACTGTTGCTACTAACAGTACAAAAATAGGCCAGAACTGTATTGAGGCCAATACATCTAAACATTGGACTTCACTGTTGAAGACCGTGAACAATCACGCCATCATTTCAGGCTGTTCTCACCCAGAATTGGACAACTGTAGTTTTGGCTGTCCTTCTTATGTCCAGTCATTAAACAAAATGACGACGCTGTCATAACACAGCTTGAGTGCGTCTTATTAAACCGGGGTTAGAATTTCACCCTGAGGACAACCTTTATTTAGACGCTCCCTAGAGCATTTCTACACAAGAATGATGACATTGCGGCTGCTCTAAAAAACAATAGTGTATCTGGACCAGTGTTTATGCCATTTTCTCTACAAACCTCCGATGCAGAAGAGCAGGTGTGACCTTCCACTCAGACTCTTCACTGATTCCCTGATGATGCAGATTGTATCGGCCGACAGTGAGAATAAGAATCAGGATTTTATTCTGTTTATTCTAAAGTCGTCATCAAAAAAGTAAATTACTGTGACTGTATCTGTTAAAGACTTTAATTTCACGATTAATCATGACGGTCAGCTTGTTAGTCGTAGAACTACTGACTGTCCTGATCTCGCTGACCTGCCTCAACAAAAACACATGCAGGAAGTTGATGATGGTATTTTAATGTCGAGTTGCAGGTTTTGCAATTATTACTACATTATTACTGTTTGCAAACGTTTTATTTGGCCAGGGCATATATTTTGAAAATCTGACATTAGATAACTGTTTAAAGTTTCTTTGGCGTCTGGCTTCTTCAGTGTGACCCTGTAAAATATCAATTTCATTTTCTCCCCGCCAAAAAAAAAAAAAAAATACAACAGAGGAAACGGCAGCAGAAGGAGAAAATCCACTCTCCTGCTCAGTGATATACTGCACACTCTGAACACAGTCTGCCTTGTTTTGTTCACTGGTGTGTTTCAAATGCATCACCAGCTCATTCGCTTATCGGAGCCTTGCCCCCGGGCCGCCTGTACGCTGTGATGGATCTGAGGTACTCGGGCGGTGATGGACAGGTTGCAGGGTACAACACTCTCCTGCTCTGATCGCTGCCCATGTTTCTTTTGCAGCCTCTCACCTCAGGCACGCTAGCTCACTCAGAGGGCGGCTGACAGGTAGATGTATTCCGAGCCCCCTGCTACCCACTGAAATACAGCCTCTGCCTGTGTGTGTGTGTATGTGTGTGTCTCACTGAGAAGTATGTGGTGAAATAAACTTGCAGTTTTTTATTAAATATAAATAATACAGCAATGTAAGTGTGTTGTAAAAAAAGCACAAAGACATTGACTACTCATCTGTGCACACAAACACGCAAACACACACTGTAGTCTCAGGCACAGCTTTGGTGCCATTCATTAACGTCCATCAAGCGTAGCGAGGTGATGTGTCCATCACAGTTAAGCCCTCGCTTCGTCTCCCTCTCTGGGCTGGTCCCGGGAGACTCAGATAAACTCTAATAGCAGCTCATTATATTGAAACATCCACATGAAATAGACCATAATGAGCTGTTTTCTGATTTCTACTTCGCTCGTGGGGGTCGTTGTTATTGGTGGGAAATTGATTGGCAGCAGTCCTGCACTGCGAGGGGCTGCGCAATGTTCTTGGCAATGAATGTTGTCGCAGCAAGGGGAGCTTTCAGTTGGAAGTTCTCAGCCGCGGGGGGTCTGGATTCATGTGAGTGGGCTCCTGGAAGTTTGTGTGTGCACCTACAGGGTGTGTGGTAGTGCATTTGTTTCTTTTTGTCTGAAGACATTATTTTTAAGGAAAACTTAACGGCACGGTGGGGTGTAAAGATTAGCATCCTATAAATCAGGCAAAATCATTGTAGCGTTTAAATTTAAAACCAGTGACATAAAATTTCATTACGGAGTATCACAGAGGGAAGGGGAAATGCCTTCCTCTGTCTTATCCAGGTCTGCGTGTTCAATATTACATTAGCCTCCGGCACGTTAAATGTTTAATGCATTCCAAAAGAAATTGTATCTACATGCAGCTCAGTGGGGCTTTAATGGTATGATTACACTGAGGTGCCCTCCTCAGGCCACTCTCCAGCAGCAGGCTCACCCTGTTGTTCTTCACCTGCCCTAGTGTCAAACATGAGGAACTGCAGAGTTGATCAGAATTTAGTTGACCTCAGAGAACCTAAAACACGACCAGCTGAGGGTTTAGAGTCAAAACCAATAAAAGAGACAACATGCCGAAGCCCTGATGCAGTATAACGATGAACAAAACTGCAGCTCAGGCTCATGTATTTTACAACATGGGATGTAAACATAAAATTGAACACCATCCAGTGTTGTTGTTTTGCTCTTGTTTTTTTTTTTTTTTGTTTTTTTTTGTTTTTTTTAATATTCACAACTTTTGCAGCTGGAAGATTCTGGGGGATTTCTGTTGTGTCTCGTTTGTCCCTGGTTGGACGCATTGTCATGCAGAGTGAAAACAGCAGTTCACTCTGCCTTTCACCCTCATTAATGTGTGTTTTGGATTGTTGACAGCACAGTGTCTTGTTCAACCTGACTGCGAACCACGTCATTTTCTTTGAAGTTACCCGTTATTGTCTGATTACAGCAGATATTTAATTTGACGCTTGTTTGACAAACGTAAGACGAAATGTGGGAACAACATGATCGCATAATTAAGGTGACTGAATGAATGGAAAATTGCCTTATTGCAGTAACCACAGTGCTGTCATGCTGGGGTTTAGGTCTGATTGTCAATCACATATCGTCAGCAAGGAGTCGTCGAGCGTTTTAGTGCCGCAAACAGATTTCACTGAGAAGAAAAATGTTTGAGAATTAATTGATCAATGTTTTCTCGCGTGTGGACAAACACATGTTTTTTCTCTTCAGTATTTCCAAGATTTTTACAGTGTTGTGTAAAAACATTTAGGGTCAATTTGGGTCTTATTTGATGTGGGTGAGGGGCTTCAATCCCAGATACGGGTTTCCCTTATGTTGGTCATTAATTCAAAGGTTTGTTTGACACATTCTTAATTATACAGTCATAACTAAGGGGAGATGTAACACTGATTCACTCATTACTCCATGTATCTAACATAAAACAGGTAATTAGGGACAATTAATACACAAGAAATAAAAATACGCAACATCACACATCAGGGGTAGTAACGAACTGACAAAGGTCGTCTGTAAAAACAACTGAAAACAAAAATAATGAGGTGATTTTTTTTTCTCCTCACACACCACCGCACGTGTTCCATGTATGTGATGCTTATGGCTGTTATTAACAATCTTGCTGCTGGTTTTCTCAGACTCAGGACTCAAACAAACGTTACTTGTACTGCATATGATTTTTTTTTTCCACTTCTGTTGTGAAAATGCGAAAATTGTTTATATAGAATTCAGAGTAAAAAACGTGCTGACCTTTGAAGTTGATTGGATGTTGTCTTTATATTTGATTTTGTGGTGGGCCTGTAAACTGTTCACTCTGTAACAACACTATCCTCTATGACAGTTCAGATTGACTGCTGCCCCCTGTTGAGGCACTGAAGATGAAGTTGCAGCAGATAAATTAATGCATGAATCTTGTATGAATATTTTATTCTAATTAGTAGCTGTTACTGTGAGATCTCAATTAAGTATTTTTTTTTACTGCCGGGAGTAAATAAACAATAATTGGTCTGTGGCCAGGTCCTGTAGAAATATGCATTTCTTTTTTTTTTTTTTTTATGCAGATGATATTGTGCTCTTTTTACAACCGCTACATTTTCACACGAACAAATCTTGTGTTAAACTTAGTAATCACAGTTTTCTTTGGTAGTGTGATCTCATGTCAAGCCTCCTTGTGTGTCATTATGACAGAGTAAGAGTTTAATACTGGGATTTAGGAGGAGATACCACAGCAAATCTGCCCCCAATGAAACTCTTCTCTGAGAAACCTGCAGTGTTGTGATTGGATCTGGTGAATAGGAGTTCTTCAAACATCATTTCGTCAAGCGTGTTACATAATATAACACGTTGGTGATTCAAATCTCCACAAAATTGCTTTTCTTGTTGATCAAAGGGATACAATTACAAATCTGTGCAGTTACCCCACTCGGGGGCAACTGAAGAAAAATACCAAAATTGTTCTGTTTACAATTTCTGTTAATATATACTTTTTTAAATTTATTTTCCTACCCAGCAGTGATGAAGAGGTCCTCATTTGGTCCCCTACCAGGCCGTGGTGGAAGCATGTTGCTACCAGCTGCGGTTGAATAGAACTAATCTGTGCATCAAGTAGCAGAACTCATTCTGCACCGGGCAGATAAAGCCTGCTGGCAGACTCCAAGGCCAGGCCGACTATCACACAAGCTCAGAAGAAGCCTGTTTTTTTTTTCTTCCTCTTTTTCTTTTTTCTCCTCCAAAAGGAAAACCTGAAAGCAGCAAGATGCGAGAGGCAACCAGCGAGATACCCATGATTATAGCCCGTCCAAGCGCAGCGCCTTTAAAAAGTGACAAGAGATGGCAAAAGATTGGGCTATTATTCAAAATCGGTCAGCAAAAAAAAAACCAATGTTTTTTTTTCTTCATCAAAGACTGAAGTCATTCTCTCAGTCAGAGGCAGAAACAGCGTGAGATCATTTGACTTTTAAAAGAATGATAAAGAAGAGTCACTGGGAGGGCCAGCTGACATCGTACTTTATCCTCCATAAGGAAGGCAGAAAAAAACTGAAAAGCTAGCCGAAATAAATAAAAATTCATTAGATGCATTCACTCTTCTATATTTTTACTATCATTATTTTTACTTCCAATCACTCAATCACGTTGATAATAATTCTGCGACCTCCCTGATGTGATTCTTACCAAATTGTCCTGCGTTTTCCCCGCCTGCTCTTGAACACTCTCTGTGCCTTTTGTTTACCCAGTGTTTTCTGTGACATTGCAGGGAGTTTGGCCGCTGGAAGGTGAACAGCTTGGCCCTTGAGAGACAGGAGAACAATGGCTTTGCTCTGCCACTGGATCCCGAGTTTCTCCAGACTATTAGGCAGCTGGGAAGGAGGCCGAGTCTCAGTGCCATCACTGACAACATTATCAGGAAATACGGCACCCACTTCCTCCTCTCGGCAACACTGGGAGGTAAATGAATGTCTCTTCTTGCTTTTACTGACCTTTCTTGACAACTGAAGAACAGTTTAAAAGGTTAGGATGTGTTATTCCACGTGGACGGCAGTTCAAACAAAACCAAGAATTACTCTGCATCCACCAGGAGTCCTTTTTTAGACAATTGTTTCATGTAAAGACAAAACTAAACACAATTTTCAGTAATGATTCTATGTTTATTTTTATAGTGGCACAGAAAAATGCAGCGTAACTATATGCAATTTGCAAAGAGTTGAACTAGTACCAACTATGATCCAGAATATTGTGAAAAGATCCAAAGTGTAAAGAGGTAGAAACTGGTTAATTTGTCTCACCTTTGACCTTTACCATTATTGGACAGTTTATTGTTCCATTTTAACTGCAACCAAAAGAACACATAGGAAGAGAACAGTACTACTGTTGAACTTACAGTACTACAGCAATACTGAATAATATATACCACATCATACATCTTCATTTGAATAGTTTGCAGGACTACTGAAGTTATTGTGTATTATTTTGTAGAGTATATTTGTCCTTGTTTTAGATTGTGTAAATAACATTTGCATAACAAATAACTGTTTGTCTATTACCATTTTTATGAGAATAGAATGGAAACAGTTTTGTTGTCACTGTGACTCACAATATTATTGCATATCATTATGAAATTATGTTCCAATAATACAAAACATATGACTATGTAAATAATCTAATATAGATTTACATGTATGTGTGAATATAAATATTGTCCATTTCAATTCCAGGAAAGGGAACTGTTATATTTACATTTTCATGTTAGGAAAACAAAAAATACTTAAGTTTGTAAGTTGAAATAAAAAGTCATGTTTAAGGAACAAGTAAACGACATAAAGAAATAAGGTATAATATCTTACTTCATTGACAGCTTTTTTTTTATTGCAAACTTAAAAAATGAAAAGAAAAAACATGCTGCTATTTCTCCATTAATAGGTTTTATATGTGGATGATGTGATGACTTATGAGCAGAAGGTAATTGGATTAAGAGAGTCGCTGCAGAAAATTATGTTTTGCATGGTAATTTCAGTTACCTGATGTGATTGAAATGTGTAATTAATAGCCTTTTCTTAATGCCTCTCAATCAGGCCGGGGTTTAATCATTACACAGTGGGTATTACCGCAGCATTGTTTGTCTGTTCGAGAATAAAAAAAGAAACCTTAATGTGAAGCGGTTACTCTAAAAAGTCAGCAGAAATACAACTCCAATTTTCACATCATCAGCAAAGAAAAGTGACACATTAATCAAGCGATGAACTAGTTGTGGAACTTTTCGTGCTACAATCACTTGAAAAAAAACAAACAATTTCCTCCAATTTTAATCAGAATTAGTCCAAACAAATCAGGTAAATCAAGTCCCATCAGTTCTATTTTTTGTAGAACTTGAACGCCAATGATTTTACCCACTACCTGTTACCATTGCTGCAGTTCTACAAAGAACAACAGGACAGTTTTCTTTTTCTTTTTTTGTAATATGTAGATATCCACATATAAAGCACAATCACATCCTTAGATACTCAGATATATTTGAGTTGCCAGAACTCTCTGGACCCATGGCTGACTGCTGTGCAGCCTCCTCCCTGCTCCACTATCAGATCTTTTCATCCTGTGTCTCTGATGAATGCCAACAGGGTTCAGATAGATTTCAGATACACTTCTGCACATTATAGGAGAAGACGTGCAGCTAAAGAACGTCCTGATCTAGCCCTGCTCTCAGTCATTGTTTAAGGATCTGTTTGTCCTGACAATTAGGTTTGTAAGCAGGCAGTAAAAAAGGACAATTAAGATTGGCTTCAGGCTACAGATTGTTTGTTTTTTTTCTCCACTAGCCCTGCCCGTAGCTTTAGACACCTTTCTTCTTCATTTTCTAAAATGTTTTTTAGTCTCACATTTCCTCTTAAACTTAAAGTCAAGTTATTAATATAATGTTAGAAAAAACACAACTAAAAATAGTCTTAGAAATACATTTATTTTACTAGAAAACATTATGATACATTCTAAATTTCAAATTTCAAACCACTTTTCCAGACATACTGTATATATTTTGGCAAGGTTTTAAGTAAGAAAATACTAGATAAATTATGTAAATATTTGCTTCTTTTATTGTGATGATTCTGCTCAGCTGATAGAAGTGAATGGCGTTTAACAGGTCGGTAAAGATGAAGAGGTAATCATTTTTACCCGGGGTGTAAATGTGCTGTGGTTCGGTGCCAGTGTCGGTGTAAATTAGGACCTGAACTGGCTGGGAGTCCTAATGCTGTTAGAGAGTACGTCTGTATTGATCGCTCACTCCCTGTAACTCCTGTCAATACGCCGTCTTCTCAGAACTTTGGCAGAAGCTTCACAGCTATTATCAATAAATCCAAAGGCGGGATACAATTATTGCTGTGATGCTCGAAATTCTTGGTGAGTTTTTGTAGCCCGGAAATCCAGTACGTTCCGCCCTGCGTGGCTGCATAAAACAGCAGGTGTTCCTAGTTTAACGTTTATTACTCCGCCAATAAAAACACTTTGTGTTTGTTGACAAAAGAGATGAGTCATAAATGGAATTTATCTTTATGTGTGTGTTCCTGTCTGTCTGTGTCTGTCTGTCTGTGTGTGTGTTTGCAGGAGAGGAGTCATTAATGATTTTTGTGGACAAGCGGAAGTTGAGTCGGACAAGTGAAGTGAGCGAGTCCAACGGCACAGCTGTGAGTCTGGAAGCTCTGCACCAGCTGGCTGCCTCTTACTTCATCGACAGGGAGAGCACTCTGCACAAACTGCACCACATCCAGATCGCCTCCACTGCCATCAAGGTGAGAACTGGTACTTTTTATTGTAATTGAAGAATATATGTTATATATTTATAATTACCACATAAGGAATAAATTGTGTCAAACTTGAGTCCTGCAGGCCACATCAGGCCCTCTCACTTATTTTACATGGCCCGGCGAGATAACCCTGAGATAATACAGTATTAGTTGATACATATATATATATATATACTGTGTTCCAAATGTCTTCAAATTATTTTTTTACTGTGATCCAAATGTGTTTCCAGTTCCACTATATGTTGTGTTCAACTATTCATCAGCCATGTTTTTTTTTGTTTTTTTTTGCAGCACTCAGTACTGCTGGAGATACTGTGTGCTGCTCAGTTGTGCTGATATTTTTTTTTTTACTTTATACATTTAAAGGTTTGATTCTAGGTTTAAAGAAAATTTAAAATGTGCAAATTTGCATTTGTTTGGCGAGCTCAAGTATGATGAAGAGGGTGGATGAGAAGGTAGCAGGAGGTCGACCAGGAGAAGTCGGCACCATTGTTTACTCCTGCACACAATACACACGGTGCATATCCAAATATGCTTATGATGTAAATATCGGCCCTGCATCTTTCACTGCCTAATACCTGCAGGCCGTGTTCATTCATCACTCTGTCAGTAGTTATCAAGCTCAGTGAATTGAATCTACTGAGTTTGCCCTTCGGGCCGCAGACTTAATTTGGGTCCACGGAAGCCGGTTGCTCACGTGGCTTTTCCGTGTTTACGTTGGCTGGTGGTAAACAAAAGATTAAAGGCTGTAAGTGAAATTGAAAACAGCCATTGGAGACACTGTCAACCTCCTGTTTATCTCATGATGGCGACGCTGCTGATGTGATTACTCCTGTGTCTTCAGTCAGGATGGGGGCATTTCAACAACATGACACGTCAACATTTCTGTTAGAACTTTAGGTGATAGAATGTTAAGAGTGTAAACAGCTAATAGTAAATGTAGCTGTAGGTAAACAATGTCAGAATGTGTTGAATTTAATGACTTATGGTTTAAAAAGCTGCCTAGATCACAGCTGGTCTGGAAGGTTCTGTTGACATGTTGATGTTGTCTTGTCTTTGTTTTGATTGGTGTAACAAGTCACTCAGTGTCAACTTTCTTCTAGTTAATGGTTAATTTAGGATGAAATATTTTTCACTGAATTTAAGAATTAAATTGAGAAAAAACAAAAAAGACAGATAAAATATTTTTTTTTAATATTTTTTGTTTTCAAATAAAATGCAGCATATAAAAAAATCTCTGAGCTGGCACACCTTGATTGATGGCTGTGATCACATGACAAGTGACAGCTACTGAAAAGACTCTGGGGTCGTCAGAAATGTGTGATTTCAAAATGGGGTCACAAGTCAAAAAAGGTTGTGAACCACTTCCTGACAATCAGAAGGCTTGGGTTTATACTCCCTTCTAATTCCACCTTCTTTTCTCTGAAACTACAGCTACAAAAACCAAAAGCTTCTTCTCTTTTTTTTTTTTTTTAGCCTAAGCCCATTTGTCAAACATTTTGTGTCGAGGTCTGACTTGGTCGACCGTCGAAGGTACAACTCTACAATCTCTGAAGTGAATTGGTCAGAGGACGTTGAGTTGATTTGGCAGTCGCCGCTGAACACTGTCCCTGATAAAAACCTCTTTTGATGGAGATGAATGAAGGTGAAACTTTCTGGGCTGCGTTTGTTTGTGAGACACTTTCAGGTGACGGACAGGAAATATTCAGAGCGTCAGCAGTGCTTCAACTCCCAGCTTTCTTTTTTTCGACATTCATTAAAGATATATGCTAATGCTAAACTGCCTTAAAGGAACAAGCCCTGCTCTCATTGGCTTTAATAGAATAACCCGTAGAACCTTCTGTCCTGAAAGCCTGAAGACGGAGAACATTAGAGCAGGAAAGTAATCAAAGACAGGGAAAAATGAGGAAAGAAGCGTGGAAGCAAAATGGATCTGCTGCTAGGTTCTGTGATAAATCAGCTCTTTCATTCTGGTAATTTGCTTTGAGAGCCTGTCATTTTTCAAGGATTATTTTTTTTTATTTTTCGAGTGGGAGTTTAACTTACAAAATGAGAGGAGAGCAGGTGTATACGGTTCAATGCCGAGGTACATCAGGAAATCAGGTTGGCAGGAAACAAAGCATCTGAGCCGTCGCCCTATTGTAAAATTAATTATACCAAAGTAAGGCAGGAGAAAATCATTGGCAGGGAGGAGAAGTGATAAGAACTGTTTGACCCAATTTGGCTGTGGGAGTACCGAGTGTTCAGTCAGTCAGGCAGTCAGTCAGTCAGTGTTCTGCTTCATTTTTCTAAGGATGGAGCGAAGATAAGGAAAAAAAAAAGCACCAGTAATCAAATAATGTTAATTGAGAAACAAATCCCCGGTATTTGCTTCTGTGCTGTAATTTATTATCACTTCCTCCTGGATATCAGTTTTTGAAAGAAAGACAAAAAACGTTCTAAGAAAAAAATTATTTATATGGAAATTGGGACTTTTTTTATTTCTTTATCCTCAATTTAAGTGTAAAAAACTTGAAAGCAAGGTTTCCATTATTATTTTTATTTTTAAATTATTTCTGGTAGACATTTTTTACCCCAGCTCAAACCCATTTCAAATATTCTTTTAATTTAGTAAAAGACAAAAATCGACGGAAAATATAGTGGTTGTTAATCTCAGTAATTGTATTTTTTATTTTTTTGCAAAACTTAAACCTTTGATGTTGGATCAAATTTAACAATAGTTTAATTTTTACATATTAAAAAAACCCAAAGGATAACAACTCTGTCTCAACTCATAATAGAAATATATATGGGTCACAATTTACATTTTATAATTAACATTTTATAGTAAGGTCTCAGTACAGTAATAAAGGTTGATACCAGATTTTTTTATTTTTTTTTTGATTAGATACAACCAATTAGCAACATTTTTGGTATTTGTTCATAAATATGTTGAAGTGACAGATGCATTCTTTTCATTTATTTATTATTGTCCATACTGTATTAGATTAAACAATTCCCAATCAATACTCGTGTGAGGACCGATATCTGTAAATTGATACACAGAATCGATACGCCAATCACTACGGTACAATTTGTTTTAAAACAGCAAATTATAACATTTCTAAGAGTTCCACTTCCTCGACTCATTTCCTTTTGAATCTGATATTGGTTTAGAGGAAGTGCAGCCTGCCAAGCATGGATAAATATTCATATCAATGATTTTCCTCTGGCTTCCTCTCAAGCGTCTGGATCTGTCTGTGCAAAAGAGCAGCAGCTTAATTCCCCATCAAGAAACTGAGTAAATATAAAGTCCCACTTTCTGTTATCCTCTGGCTTGAGTGGCATTTTTTTCTCTCTCCTTTTTTTCCCATCTTCATATTCAAAGGGTTTTTTTTTTTTTTCTAACTTGCCCCATTTTCTCGCTTATGGACTTATCCCCCCCGGCCCCTGACATTAAAGTGTAAGCCCCTGCAACAAGGTGGTCTTTAACCATGCCCTGAAATCCTCCAAGATGGAATATAAAAATACATTTCTCATGCAAATGCAGTTTTCTCAAATATTACTACGGTATGATGATGATGATGATGATGATGATGACGATGATGATGATGATGATGAAGCAGAGGAATGTATTCTTTCAAGGTGATGGGAAAAATAAGGCTGTTTAGAGATGAGCGATGAAATTCATGAAACATTAATGCTATCTCAGCCTAAGTGTGTGTGTGTGTGTGTGTTCCCTGTGAGTACATCCATTTAAAGTCCATTGTTGCTCAAATATCTGACTAAGTGACATTTTATGCTACTTTGCCAGGAATTATTCATATGTGGGATTCACAGTGGTGATGAATCTTCATCAGAGAAACTCTTCCTGCCTAAAAGCTCCCGTAATATTATTAAAGCTGCATTTTTTTATTTTTTTATTTTTTTTTGCTCATGTAAATAATGAATATGCCTTGCAGCCATCTGCACTGGTGGACCGTGGCAACCCTGCTGAGGCCACACACCAGGAAGACGGAGGGAACCATCCATCAGTACAAAGAGGAAAGACGTGATTTGATTCTCTGTAGATAACACAGATATTTTACAGCCTTTATTGTGGCATCGATTCCTTTTATTATCATCACTTTGCTCTCTTTATTAACCGTAAATACTCACTGTACTTGAAGTAGCTCATGTAGTATTTATGGTGTATTTTGACTCTGTTTGTAACAAGTTTTAGGTGAGAGAAGAATAGTTGATTTTATGAGCACAGTTTTAGACATGTGTGTGTCATTTTTAATGGTTTACTATACTTGTGGGGACAGTTTTTTCAAAAAAAAGGTCCTACTGCTTTGTGGGGACATTTTGTAGTTCTCACTGAGTGAGATGGGGTTTGGAGTTACAATTAGAGTTTGGGTCAGGATTAGGATTGAGTATGCACTGGTTAAGGTTAGGGCTTGAAGAATACATTGTGACTCAGGCACCAGTATGTGTGTATGTGTGTTTGTGTGTTCGTCTGGACATATTTGTGGGGACGTTTTATGTGGAAAATCCTATTGTTGTTGTGACAACTTCTCTTGCAGGGACATTTTGCAAGTTCCCCTTTGAGGGAAAAATAGTTTGATTTTATGTGCAAAATGTGTCCTTTACAGGTTTACTATAATATATTTAAAAAAAAAAACCCTTGTCTTGTGGGGACATTTTGTAAATTCCCTTCTGAGAGAAGGATTAAATATAGTGTTGGATTACAGTATTGCAGAAAGGACTAATATTAGGCATATATTTGTAATAGTTAAGGCACAAGACTATGCTAAAAAAAAACAAAAAATATGATTTGTGTGTGTATGTGTAAAATATCTGGAATAGCCCCCACCTGCTCCCAGAGTTAAAACCACGCAGCCTGCGAGTCAGTGCAGAGGGCTGCTGTGTGTCACGGCACAGATAGAACAACGTGTCTGGTAGCAGGCAGTGCTAGTTCCACAGACACTTTGCATGATGTGGCCGGGAAGAAAAAAAAAATAAAA